GTTTGTTATTTCATAAACTTAACCACATATGTTAAGATATTATTGTGCGTTTAATTTCAGCAAAAACTCTATAAAATTATTTGTACATTCCCTCGTTTTTGTGTGATGAACATTTCCGCCTATAAATAAAAATAGACACCGATTGAGCTTAAAACTACGCATATATTTTAGAAATTGCCCGTGGAAGAAGGTTACCGTTCTTCCTCTAAATTGACAAAAATAAACCGATTAGAAAATTTCAAAAAAGTTAGACCTCTTTCTGAAGTAATCTATTAATATTTCTTAAAACCTTGAATAAGTGTTGATGGTTTTTATCTTACTAGCAAACAAAACAAGACCAGTTTAGGAAAGGTTTCCACAAGAAAGAAAAGATTCCGCTATAAAATCTCATTTTATACCAGTTTGACATCGAATGATGGAATTATTTTTGGGACTACATATCAAACTTATTGAATAAAACTTTTGGAATGATTATCAGGGTTTTATAGACGCTGGAATTCCTGGAAAGTATTGGAAATAATTGGCATTTACCGGAATTTCTTGATTTGAAATTTTTTGGGAATTACATTATGTGGTTGCTCAACAGGGAGCTATTTTAAAGCTTTTATCGAATATGAATATGGAAATACGCGGTAGAATGTGAATTTCGGGAATAATCAGCCCAGAATTCTCAAAAATCTGATTGATCTAATTTCCCTAATTGCAATTTTCACTGATTTGATTGCACTTTTTTTGCGATATTCCGTAGAATTGATTCTAAAATAATAAATTACGTTATTGAGCGAATCTTAGTACAAAGTTTGAAGAAGTTATTTTTAAGTTAGGTTAAGTTAAGTGAAAATATTTTAAGGTGACGCAATCAGTTCTTTGCAAGAAATGAGTTGTTTAGCGTTTCCCACTCTTCACGATAATCGCGGTTATTTAGAAGATTGTCTGAAGACGGAAGCGGGAAATTTTCCTTCTAGTCTAAGAACTTAAAACGCCAACAAACGTAAAACCCAGACATTTGTTCAAATGAACCTGTAGCCGTATTTCCTGAGTTCGTGTTCGATAAATAAAATGTGATGAATTAATTATGTGGAAATCTCTATCGGAGTAATGTGTAAGTTGCATTTTAATTATTTACAGATACAATCTTAAGCTTCCGTGCTAGATTTTTTTACCATTACGTTGAATTTATTATAATTGAAGAGAAATCATGAAAACTTAAATTAACTCTTGCAACCGTGTACCAACACTATTGTGAGATACTGTTAGCTGAGTTGTTTTGCGATTTATTTTTAGAATTAAATAACAATCAGCAGTTCAAACCAAATATAACATAAACGTGACATGAAGCTCTTTCACTTTTGAAAACAAAGAGTAATAATATTTACGTTTTTGTGTTTACAATACCGCTGAGTTGTCAGAGTTTCAACCACCCTTAACATAGACGTTATTAAGGTCGTTTTATATTTAACAACGGAGATAAGAAATAATTTGTTCAATCGTCCGACACTCTATATTGAAATAGAATATTTTGTCCTTGCTCTGAGACTATGTTTCTTCAATCATTGTAAATTGTAAGCTGATAATTGTTTCATCAGATGGTTTGTTTCAAATAAACTGATATCTCAGTTATTTGTATGTACCTTGGCTAGGAATGCCAAAGGCTTAATTTAGACCAACAGATTAAAGTCAAAACCATGTGTACTATTATAATTTCTTATTTAAAAAAATGTGTTTTAAACATACTTCACTTTTTATCGCTCGACATACCGAAATTTCGTGTTGGCATAACATGAAAACTCAAAATTCGGCTTGTTTATAATCTGTGAAATGGAAAATATAGTATTTTGAAATAGTGCTACTAGTTTACGGTATTGTGATGATATCAAAGGTAGTTAAAAATCGAACGTCTTAACTGAGGCGTATCAAAGTCCGGAAATCCGGCCCTGCGCCAGCCTTGAATTGGAAAAAAATTTGGGCCAAACGAAATGGCTCATGGCCAATGTTAGAAATGGTTTATTTTTATAAAGTTTTCCTTTACAATCGTGTTCCTGTAGAATTTCCTTCGTTTCAAAGAAAGCGCGTTTATACCAACCTTTTATGATTTATCACCTTCTAACGATTGAGGTGAATGAAATTCCAAGTGTAAACAGTGGTTCTAAGGTGACGGAATTCGTTTGCATATTCCGTCGAGACCCCATAACAAATTCAATGTCGACGTGCGAAAAATCTTGCAAAATAGCTGGTGCGAATCTCGGCGTTGGGGCAACGTTCTTGGTGTATTTTTTAGAGCCCGCCGGTGGCTTTGCCAGCCCCTGATGTCATGTCTATATTTACAAAGGAAGGATGTTGATACGACATGCACAGTGGCCATTCGAATATAATGTTTACGTACAAACTGCGGACTATGACCTCCGTATCGTCTCTGACAGAAAAATGAGATCACCTTTTAATAAAACTATTTATTTTGCCATCATGAGATTGTTTACACCCACTACCGTGCAAGGTGTTGTTGTTTATAGTCGTTTAACAACTCGCATGCACCTACTGGAAGTGTAAACGCGCTTACCAAAATACTGCAGATATTCAGGCATTCGCGTTGTCCCTGATCTCATTTCCAGATATTCGCAAGCACACTTTAAGTTGAGAGAGGAAGGATTTCGTATTGTTGGATCTTATTAATGGTCTCATGTTTTCTACACATGTTTCTGCCTACTCAATTTGTCTATTTGGATGCTTGCCACCCGAAAGATCGGAAAAAGGTACGGAAATTGACAGGTTTACATTTCATTGAAGACGAGCTTCATTTTCCATAATGGAATTATAGCGCTGAAGGCAAGCGGTGAATGTCATGATCAAGATGAACGTGATTTTCTCCGACACAAGACTGGCAGAAGTTACGCAAACATATCGATTTCTAAACGTTTCCTCGGGTGAAGAATAAATTACTCACCAAACCTTTTGTCTTAATGGAATAGAGTAGATTGTCGATACGGTTATCAAATATGTCAAAAAGTGATAATTGAGTTTATCGCCAGATGGAAAATTCTAGATTAGCAAAGCAGCGCAAATCAGGTTAAAGCAGGGAAATTTCCCTAATTGACCTAAATAATCGAGTGCGAAAGATATAATCAACAGTAGTATCAGCGTAAGGCTTTTGACCTTATTTTTGTGAAGATTCATTGACCCATTTCCATTGATATTTAAATTAACTCTGTTCTAACTCGTATTTCCGCATCCGAAATAGAGAATATTAGCGTGATCTCAGACAGATACTGCACGTGGAAGAAATCGAACGATCCATATCTTTGTTCACCAAATTTTAAATAATTTTTCTTTATCAAATCTCGGGCCAGTGTTAAACGATTTTGACTCATCGCTTATTTTTAGACGGCGTAATTAAATAATTATCTGCCTGAAGTAATTAAAAACAACATTATTTATGGTAATATATCAGCTTTTTCAATTGATATTGGCACCTACCATTATTATCATTTGAATAAAATATAAAACTGACATCTTCACTCTATTGCGCGCTTAATTACTCCACGTGATGAAAAATTTTCATTTAGTGTAGTCTAAATGTCGTTATCAGTTATTTCCTCAACTACTTCCACCGTAATATATGCACAGAGATACTAATAATAATAATTGCCCCGGTGACATAACATGATCCCCATTTCCTCTTTTTTTAAATCAGACTTAGTCATCCCTAATTGTATGTAATGTACCTCCGTGGTTATAAATTACACAAGTGCTGTTACAAAGTGGGTAATATTTTTCGTGCGCAGCAACTGGCGGCAATTTTACTATTTTCGCTCAACCTATTGGCAGACCTGGAGTACTATGACATCACTCCCTCAAAAGAAGCTTATGTCATGGTTAAATATTGCATTGACCGACCTGCCACGATTGTAACCCTTGTCAAAAAAAGACTCGTTTTGTAAATGCGAACCGCGGCACGATGAAAAGCACTTAACAGATGCTTGACCTTACCGTTTTTAGATACCGATCAATAAAATTGATTGTAATTTTTTCTATTGTCCTTTCGTCACTCGTGTCTTCTGTTTTCGCATTTTTTGGGTTGGCTTTTTTGTGTAAGCATGCCTTAATGAGACTGCGGTATCGTTTCCGATAGAGTAACTTCGTCACGAAAGTTCAAGAAGTCATGCCTTGCCCCTGCTCGGACGTCACTGCGTTGGGACTTTAAAGGAAAGCTTTCAGAATAAAAATAGAAATGATGTACACCTAGATATTATTTTCGAACACAATAATTACCTAATAGTGCCATTATTTTTGCAATTTATATTCCTTATCGACCCCGTCTCATCGCTATAAATATATTTCGAAAACATGTCATTGTTAGTTTGTGAAATTATTATCAGTAATTGACATTAAAAATATTCAGGACTCGACACCACCCATTGCGCGTATTTCTCCGTCTGTTGAATTATTTAAAATAATTGTTATATTTTTTGGTGTTTATTTATTTTGTTATATGACCACATCCGCCGTTTGATATCTTTAATGCTGTTGTTTAATAATAATTTTCAGTTTTTTCGTTGTTTCGTTGTAAAGAACATGCATGTAACAAATTTGTCATTTGTGTATAAAAGAAGAATCACGACAATCGCTGTTTAGTTGATCTTGAAACGTGGAAGAGAATTTGTTTATGTTGTAGTGCTGTGTGTGTTTCTGTGTGTGATAACAGGATCCGGCCATGCTGCATCGCCTGTGTGTGAATTTAGTAATTTTCTTGTGAGTAGTTTGTGTACTATTAAAAATGTTGAATGAATGAAAAGTTGAGTGGATATCAAAGTATGTGAATTAACTTACTACACAGTGAATGAAAACGAAAACATTGTCGCAGGAATAACACGACAGTATGAATTATGAGTTACGATTATAAGGTTGACTTTTGGTGTGTAGGATTCATTAATGTTTAATATTATCTCATTTGTGCTGCTTGCTGAAATTAAAGAAATTTATTGATGTAGTTTATCTTCTTGCAGAGAGGTTTACAATGCAATTTGCCCTCGGTTAGGACACACCCTCCATATTCCCGAAGATTCCGTGCAGGCCCTATTTAATGATATGAAACTATATCCGTCTAAAGATCAAGGTAAGGGATTACCGTTTGGTGGCTGTAAAAAGTGTGCCGAACTCGATAAGTAGTAGCATGGTGTGTGGTCGTCAAACTGGCGGAAAAGTCTCAGTAATTTGTTAAAAGATTTCTTTTTAGACGATAATTTTTTGTCGATGTAAAATGTAAATATTTGCGTGTTTCTGCTGATATCTGTAGGCGGTTTTTGGTAATCAAAGAAACCAAATGTAGCATATTGTTAGATAAATACAGAAGTAAAATGTTTACGTTGTAGATCCTCTGTAGTTTATAGACGTGTTGCTTCTAAGGCCCTGTCTTGGTTTCCTGCTCGTTGAAATTGTGGGTTGTGTAATATCGTTATGTTCTTTGTTTAACATTTCGTGTGAGGATAGCAAATCTTTTCCCACGTGCGGAGCCGAATTTTTTCCTAGAATTTATCAATTTTCTCTGGTAAACCCCCATCTCACTTAATGAAAGTATAAATTTCATTTGCTGTTTTTATTATTCATAGCTGGATGAGAAAATGTCATCTTTTTTCTCTACAGTACCCAGACCATAAAAAACTCCAAATTTTTTCGACGGCGTTTTTGTAGACAGATGAATCATGAGTGTGAATATTTGAAGGCTTGACTTAGAACAATTTTAAGGCGCTTATTAAACTGTTTATTTGATTTTGTGGCTTAAAAACAGTTAAACGGTTTCCAATTTTTCGTTTTTCATTGCACCCATTGAACATTACATGGCTGTCTTTCATTTACAATGAGGTCTTCGAGAACGACAGCTTCTGTTTCGACAAGCGATTACTATAGAAATCAGGAATTTATTAACTCTAGTGGTTTCTTACTTAAGTAGCTAAAATCGAAAACGACAATTGGAAATACATCTGGAGGTTTATCCATGTGGGTGTTCAAACATGAGCTGATGAAGCCATGTGGAAATTTTATCCACAACGATTTGTTATAGGCAGAACGTCTAGTGTCTGTGATGGCTAAGTAAATCTAAAGCATTTTCTTGTACCCACCTTTCGTTACTTAAACAGCAGTTTTAAAGAATCGAGGTCTAAGAATATCACCAAAACGTGCTTAAAAGTTAATACTCTATAGTTTTAAACCAAACTAATGTTTGTTTTTTTTTTGTTTTTTTTTAATAAACACTCGTCTCCTGTTTGCGCCGCTACATCTGTTACTAAATTAAAATAATATTTTATTATGATTGTATTACGGTAAATTAAATTGAACAACGGCGACAGCGTATAAGGCAACATCATTTTTTTAATACTGACTTTCTTAAATAAATATGATAATTATATCTGTTTTATTTATTTTAGTTAGTTGAAGATAAAATATTGATTGAACTATTTATATTAAAAGTAGGTTTTTTCCATTCTAATGCTATGGTCGAAGTTAAGTGTTGTTCTAAAAATCACAAAAGATTTGTCCAGTTACCAAGTTTATCTAGAGTGTCATGGAATATTTTACTTACAAATAAATAATTACTATACTATTACACATTACCTATTAAACTGGGAACTTGGAGATATATTTATTTTAACTGTGAAGAATTTTATAGATGAGAGTTTTCTACTATTTTATCCATGTGAAGCAAAATATTAAAGTTTTGATTGTATTATAAATTATATATTTATATTAGAGTTGAAAAATTGTTGTATAATTAGTAGTGAAGTGTTGAGAATGCTTTAGATCTGAACTATAGACTTTGTGTGTAATCAATTAAATCATACTTGGAGGTTGAAATGAAATGTCAGCTTATGAAAATAAACGAGGTGTAGGGGTTTTTTATGAAAAGTAGAATACACTGCATAACCACAAACCGTACTGTGTTTACATAAAAAGTTTGAGTTTTGGAAAATGCGACACAAGTGATAAAAATATCATAAAATCATATATGTGTAATTTTATAAGAAAGAAAATTGTTTATTTAGGTAGTCGATATATTAAAAAATTTACTTTTCTTGTCGTAGAAAATAATATCATTTTGATTATCATCTTGTTTTTCATATGATCTGTTTGTAGTGGATACTAATTACTGTTTTTTTATAATACTTGGGGTTATACAAGCAGTAGTGTTTGATAATAAAATAAAAAAAAGATAACTATAATTTAAAACTTGTCGGTCCGCTTTTATCACGTGTGATCTCGTTATAGCGACATCGGTTATTAGAGAAAAAAAGCTTCATGTTCTAGATTTTTTTACAAGTGTGTACAAGCTTGGTGGATTATGCGCAAATCTATGGCGAAACATTTAGCAATAAATGACATCAGGCTTAAAAAAGTGAATGTTATCACATAGTCGCCAAATTATCAAAAACTATTAGCTGATTTATCGGATGATAATCGATGACACTTATTTTTAAAACAAATGGGGGATCTTCTTATTTATTCTTGTGTAGTCTATTTTCGAAACTTAGTCTTATTAGCAAAAAGCACCAGCTTGCCTTGAATAAGTGTACCAAGTATAACAATGAGAAAAGAAATCAATATTTATTTTTCTTTGTTTGTGTTTATGGTAGGTAGGTATTTGTTTTTATGAAATATTTTTATTTACATTTTTTAGTGTTCTTATCACGTGTGTTAAAAACGAATCAGATTTCTTTAACTGAGCACCTACATACCTAAATTTAATATGATAACAAAGAAAGTGTGTTGTCACTATTTTAAGATAGAAATTTCAAAATTGATAAAAATGTGTGCGATTTGTAGGTAGATCAGATGTCATGCGAGGTTTTTGACATTGCTTCTGACCTCAACTGTACACAGCCGATCAATAATATAACCTAACAAAGTTATGTCAGCGAAGTTACTGATCCAAAAATGCAAATAAATCCTCAATAATAACTGAAACGTGTTCTTTTCCAGTGTCAGAAATGTTAAAGTGTGCCAGACAGTGTGGACGACGAAATGGGTCATCTAAATACATCACCTTTGGAGAGTTTTGTGTCTTTGTTAAAGAAATGAAAAATCAAAATTCCAAGCAGCACCGTAAAATACAAGCTACCAAAACCAACAACAGTGAGTAAATCCGCTTGCCAGTAATTCTTCACTTATCCTAATTTCTGGTGTATTTTTAGAGTGTGTAAACAACTGCGAAGTATTCTTAGGGGGGTCGTGTAATCCAACAACGTGGAGAGCTGATACTGCAATTCCAGAACTACAAAAATATGGTATTACATTCTACAATCCGGTATGTTAAACCTGTGCTAGAAAGTCCCAATTGCTACATAGCAAATTTGTAGCAAGTTTCGATGTGGGTACCAGAACTAGTGGCGCAAGAACACGACGCAAAGCAAGCAGCATCTGTATTGTTATATGTAGTAGACAGTCAAACAAGAAGTACGGTCGGCATGATAGAAGTAGCTTATTTAGTAGCGTCAGGTCGGTGTGTCATCGTAGTTGCTCATTCTTATAGACCTGGTCAAAGTATTATGGGAGAAACAATCACAGCAAGGTTTGTCATTGTACAAGTGACTCATCACTTGATTTAATTGGTGGATTTGTTTTAGAGAGTATAGAGATTTGGTAGAGGGCCAAACAACGCTTCTAACGTTAGTTCGAAGTAAGGGTATTGAAGTCCACAAGAATTTACCATCAGCACTGCAATGTACAGCGAAAATTTTAAGAAATGTTAGCAATGATATGACTCCTGAGGAACAATTAACGAGTAAGCTCAGGTTGGTACTTTGTTCTATTAATTTAATTAAAAATAAATCCACTAGGGAGTTTGTTTTACATATAATTTATAGCGGTAAACATCTCTTTGTTTTATTGTCGTTTTGGACATTTATTTTCCCATTGTTGTTCTAAAAAAATATATGTTGTGTCTAGAAGTGGGTTAGAGATACATTATTTTTGTTTTTAATGAGGCAATTAAATTATGTACCCGTGAGAGTCTTTATATTAAAAATCACATTTCTTTCTGTTGTTGGATTAGATGTCCTTTCTAGAAATTTGTGTTGTAAACAATGTATTTGTTATCACGTTTTTCGTGACATTTAAAGTATTAAAGTAAATTGTAAATATGGATAAATGATATACATTTATTTATGAAAGATACTGGAGATGTTATCTCAAGGTTTTTGTTTTCATTAGAAAATGTAGATTACAAGTGTAAGAATCATTTCTTACACATATGCTGACCTATTAGCCATTTTATGAATCATTTAATTTTTTTGCGATTCATTTTCTGTAAAAATAGAAAGATGGTGATGCTGAACTATTTTTTTACCTTGAGGGTTACTGGAAATAATTGCGTATTAAAAAAATCAGAATATTTAATTAATAGTTGTACAGTTCTATTCTTAACAAAAAGTTGGGTCACTTTAGGTGTAATTTTTAAAAATACTCGTCTTTGGAAGCGTTGCACTGATTATTTTCAATAAATTCCGTGTTATTAATGACGATTCCCTTTTTTCATATCTTCTTAGGGGTTAAAATATCTTCGCTACCAGTATCAACGAAGAGTGTTGCTGAGGACCGGTGGAAATTGTGCCCGGTGTACGACACTTGATATGTCTTATGTCAGTTTTCATTTTGACAATATAAAAAAACATGTTTATAGCTAGATCTTCGTGCACAATAAAAAAGAGGACATTTCGTCAGTGACCATATTTTTAATTTTTTGTATTAGATGTAGTTAAATTTTTAATAATATAATTTTACATTTCATCCATGAATATTCGAAATTCATGTCCAGTATCATAATTAGTGAAGCAGGTAAACGTAGAAATTTTCTTCTTGCATCAGACTTCGTTCGTAGCTTTCCATTAACTTTTCCGATAACAACCTCAAGGTTATCTTATTTGTTCTTCTGTTTGTACTGGTAGAGTATTGTCCATTAGAGTATTTTATTAACATTTAATCTTAAAAAAATACCACACACGGAACAGCTGTACTTGTGTTTTAAGAATTTTATTTGCTTTTCCTTTTATTTGCTTTTCCACGTGTATTTTAATTGCATTTTTAAAAACAAAGTGTGATATGTGTCAAAATAAAAGCAAACAGCCTCAACTTTTTATGGATTGTAGTGCGAATCACTCTTCTTGGTAATGTACGTATTATTTTAATAATGTAATCGATATATTCAGCAGCAGTACAATATTGAAATCCGTAAATATTTTTTTTTTTGAAAAGGCATTGAAAGGTGCTCACCAACCTAAAAAAAGATTCCAACATTTGGCAGCCGAACAGTGAAGTCAACTTACAAATGTTTCCCAATCAACTCAACACGCTTTTTTTAAAATTTCAGATTCTGTAGGGAAGATCCGAATTTGTTTGGTCTCGCCTCCTACAAAGTATTAATAAATATTCGTCCGGCATTTTGATGTGGAGCTAATTATATATGCGGTGTGGGACGTGACATGAATAATTAGAAAAAAAGCGCCAAAACGTGTCCACTCATTCATGAATCAATTTTATGTAAAACACTTCCTCATTTTTTACTCACCTGACATTTCTTTTTTTGTTTTGTTTACCATCATGTTGTTGTTGTTACAGAAAGTTGCGCGAAGTTTTTGACTCCTATGGAGGTCAGAACGGCGAGATCGAGAAATTTGGTTTTCTGAAAGCTTTCCACCAGTTAACTCAACGTGAACTAACAACGAACGAAATGTACGAATATTTGAATTTTTCCAATAATCAGAGTATAACGTTCGAACGATTCTGCATGCTGATGGCCGAAATCACCAGCGACAACTGTGATATGAGCACAACAAATGGTAGATTTTCAGATCCTTTATATTGGACGTGTGCACTTTTGAAGACTCGGCATTTGCTCAGTTCGTACGTTGTTCAACCGGTTGTTAACGTCTTAGGTAGTTTACATCTAAACAAACTCCTCACAATCCCAAACTGTGGCTTTGTTTTATTTTTTTAGTCATCACTTCAACCCCCCATAAAAAAAATGCTGATTTTCAAAAGTGTCCACATTTTATTTTTTCATTACATACATTTTTCTTTATTTTTGCGTTTAATCACTTCCTTCAACACGATAAGGTACTAATGACGTAACTTTATCAAAATTGTATTGTCTTCAAGCTATGGAAGGATTTTTACAGAATGTATCGTTAAAAGTTGCTTATATTTGGTGTTTTGTTTAGGATGGGTCAGTCAACCATTTCAACGTCAGTGTTCGACCAACAACAACACCTGCAACATTGACAACTCTCTTATAAATGGGACGATGGAAGAACCCGTCAACATTACCTCTTTTAAGAAAAATTCGTACGACGTGTTTCTTGGTGGGACTCAGAGTTCGCAGTGGCGGGAAAATATAGCAATACCGATTCTCAATCAACAAAATTTAAGTTATCCAAATTCCACGAACGGTTACGAAATCTTAGACAATAAAATCGTGACGGATTATGATGTCTTACAGTGGAAGCAAATGATGGACAATTCTAAAGTGATATTGTTTGTCATCACGAATGATTCGAGATCTTTGACGACCATGATCTTAGCAGCTCATTATATTGCTATTGGCAAGAATATGGTTTTATGTGTCCAGCAATTGCCGGAAGAGAATTGTCACGTAGGCAACGAAACTGTAAGTATTATTCTTATTGGGTGAATCGTCGCTAAATATTGTTGTGTTCAGCTCTCAGAACAAGCCATAAAGGACTACAACAGAGGGAGAGTGTATGTGGTAGACATGGCGAAACGTAAACAAATTCCAGTATTTGAAGACATCAGAGAAGCTGTGCAATGTGTAGTAAGCAAAGTTCAGAGCAGATAGATAGCAGATACCTCACACTTAGGCTCTTTTATATATAATTGGAATTTTCATTTCATGACACAGGAAATTATCATTTGCTCTCTTAAAATTTCGCAAGGCAGCTAGCTCTCTTCCTGTTAAAGCAGCTCGTTTCAGGTGAAATGAAATTTATGAGGAGATAGATACGCTTTTAAATTTTTAATTATTTATTATGAACGTGTTTTAATAGAAATAATTCTGTAAGCGATTTTTTGTTTTTTCGTTGTTATTGGTCACTTTTTTGGTGCAATTTTTTTATTCGTTTGATCATTGTAATCTAACTTTGTGGGCGGTCAACGTCTTGGTTGATGCCACTTAAAATAATTTTAGGTGTAAATTGGAATAATTTTATTAACGAAAACAAGATGTTCACGTGTTGTGATGTGATTACCATCACAGTGTACTTGTTCACATTTAACAGCTATACTTAGAGTGTACAGTGTATAAAGTAGTATAGTTCAATTGTTAAGGATAAGGGTAGCTACATTTCGCACCAAATGTTTTCACTAAGGGTAGATGTGAGTCAAGTTCCTCTCTCTCAAACATGTAAATACGGCTGCTACTTAAGTATACTAAGGAATGTATTTAAAAAGTATAGTTGTTAAATCCACGTTAAACGATGATATTATTAAACATCACTCCAGCTAAAATACCTACTTCACATTTTTTTTCGTTAGTATGTAGGTTATTAATTAAACTTTATACAAAATTAATTGTACAGTAGAGTAATTTATTATACATTATGTTTTTAATATTATAATATATTGATTATGTTATTTGTTATGTGCAATCTAAGGTTGAGTCAAGCTGGTGTTTTAAGTACTTAAAGAGTGGTTGCTGCAAATCCAGTTAGTTATTTTATGCATTTAAATCATATGATGTGGAAGCGTCAAGTAAATGTGATCAAGCCGTCGTAAATTTATATATATATTCTCACATTTGCTTGACTCATTCATTGTCTAACCAGCTTTGGAAAGGTAGGAATTATTATAGTACAACATGTGAAGTTTTCTTACTGTCTATGACATGTGATTTAATTGATGACAAGGTAGCCATGGCAGAGTAACAACAGTATTTAAGGGTGTGTCATGCATTTTAAGCTGATAAGTTTTGTGCAGTATGTGATTCCGAGAGCACCTCTTTCTTTATAGTTGTTGGAAATTGAGCGTTGTAACAAAGGGTGTTTTCGGTATCCGTCTAGCTATTGTTTGAAAGATTGTTAAAACTGCCGAAGTTTACACATACATGGGAACGAAGTGGAGATAGCTCCTTAGGCATGTATAGTACCTGACAAATTTTATGAAGAAGGAAATTATATAAATATTTTTATAATAACTGAATCTCATCTACTAATATAACGACCTTATCCTTTTGTTAACGTCGTAGGAGTTAGTTATACAGTCTGCCATTTTACTGTAAATTCTGTGGCCTTTTTTCATCACATTATACAGTAAATTTGAGCAGCATTTTCCTTACATTCAGTGTAGTTCAACGAGTAGTTAACAACCGAAATTTAACTGTAGCTAACCGTATAATAGCACTTCTTGTATTTATTATTTTTTTAATGTCTAATAAAATTTGTTAAAAAATTAGACCGTGTTTGTGTTGTTATACATACCTATAGTGCTCACATCTGTGTGTATCCATTAATACTAGATCTTTTAGTAGGCACTCCTTGTTTCTGGTAACACCAAGCAACGATTTTTGCTGTTTTACTTACTTAGCGTAAATAGGTAATTCGGTTCACTGATTTGATGAAGTGGCAAAATATATGCTTTTGCAGTAAGGGTTTTTTCAAGGGAAAAAAGTAGGTATATATAAATAACGTGACTGTTCAAGATTTGTTCTTTTATTAATAAATTTCTAAATTTATTGACTGACATATAACGTTAATACTTTCTAACATGTACAAATAGGTGATATGCGTATAGAGAAATACACATAAATCCAGTCAATAGTAAAAAATGAAAATAAAATGCAACCACTTATAAAAGCTCGTTATGTACAAAAACAAAAAGAGACTAGTTGCTTTAATAAATAAATATTATGTACATAATGTACAGTCGTTTCGTTAACTATGTACAGTCCTACAACAGAGACAGATTTAATTTAGAAATCTCAGTTGCTATCACGATTAGTTTATTTCAACATTCATACTTTTAAAAAAATTGCTTTATATAAACAGTCCATCTTAAACATCTGCGATAAAAATGACTAAATGATAAAATAAATAATTATAAAAGAGTCTATAAACATGTAAATATTTTACTTCGAAGATTTTTCTTTATTATTGGCAGTTGTGGACGTAGTACGATTGGCACAATTAGATAAATTGAAGATGCCGTGAGCAGGGTTTTCTGTAACGTTTTGGGAAAGGACGGGTTGGCGAGATTCTTTAAGATTTGCAGAAGACAAGGAACTACTGCTAATACCAGAATCACTAGATTTTTCACTTAAGCAACTTCTCCCAAGTACAGAACTGTTTTCATTGAGGCCTAATTCGGAGCCTCCACCTACAACATATTTGACTGAAGTCAACTTATGATCCGCTTCGCACACATCTTCGTTATTTTTCCGTCCACTAGCACGATTAAGGAGATTTCTACGACAAGGATCTATTAGGGTGGTTTGTCCGTGAACACTTACATATGAGTCTTTCGGCTTCTTTTGCAACTTTTCCGAACTCGATGAATTTGGAATGTTTGGTTGGTAACATAATTCCTCCTTAAGATTCAAAGAGTTCTTTTGAGCCTGCCGTACTCGCGCTAATATTTCATTATTGCATTGTTCCACTACAGCATCTAAATTATTCGTATTATCACAAAATCCTGCATTATCACTTGCGTCGGACTCCCCTTGGGGGGAAGCGTGGTGGGTTTGGCGACTGCTCTTCAAAGCATCGTAGCAACCTGAATCGCGCGGAAACTGTCGTCTGCCAAACGGAGAACAAGATCCTCCGGTTTCCAAAGCCAACATCCTGTTATGGTCATCACCCTCGCTGCTAGATCCGGCTATATCTCCTTCACTTCCAGCTGAAAAAGGAAAACTCACAGTTGGAGAGAACTCTTCTAAATCGATACGACCTTACAATCTAAATCGTGAAGAAGTTGCACAGCCGTCAAAATTTTTGCCCTATGATCCGAATTTACAATTCCTAGATAATCTAAGTCAGACGGTTCGATTTCTTTGAAGAGCTCTAAGTCTTCGTAACCATTCAAAACAAACACTGATATATATTCTTGGAGATTGATTTTCTGGAGTAAGTCTTCTACGGAGATAGGCTTGCCCTTGATATTGCGGTGCCATTTCATTTCCCTTCTAACTTTCACGGTTCTTTCGGATAGCAACTCCACGTTGATAAATTTAAATGTTCCCTTCCTACCTTGACAGATGCCGCGCCATTGACCACTGGCATTCATTGAAATTATGTCTATTATATCACCCTTCTGAAATATGAATTTTTGATACAGTAAACATTTACGAAACTCTTTAAAAAAACTACCTTGTATTTTAACGCTTCCTTATCGTAAGGACTTGGCGTGTGGTCCACCAAAGCTCTCGCTCTTCCCACGATTTGCTCAGTGGGACTAGGATCAGCATCTTCAGTCGAAATCGAACTATGATTACTGCCTGCTCTTACTAAAGCTTGTGTACCTGAAACATCTCTTTCACTAACTCTCATTTCATTTCTAACGTATTACTCACTTGAACCAGAACCGCTGGGTAAACTTTCCACGGAACTAGCAGAACAAGGAAATCCTTGATCGTTCCGCTTCTGCTCGCCGGAATCCCCTTTAAGTCTTGAGATTTTTCTTTGAACGTCTTCTCTAAGACCCCTTACTTTACCTACGATTCCAGAAGCACCGGCTGACCTTCCGTCGCTCGACTAAAATCATACACACGTGTTTTACTAATGCTTCCTTAAGAAATTATATTTTGTTACCACATGCACTGTAGCGACCTGTTGGCTGCAGTTGCTGAATTCGTCGGTGTCTTCATAATCGGAACTTTGGCTGGGAGAAAGACCGTCTTCGCTTCGAGGATAACCGCCTGTTTTTCGGAAGTGTCTGATTTTGCCTTCAAGATGGCTGTAGTATTGGGGTGAAACCAGCTGCGATATGTCTTGTTGTTCGGATCGGCTGGTGTCCACGGAAAGGGTTGACAGTCTTGAACTAATACTTTGGACGTCGGAACTGGCGTAGTCCCCACTTTCTCTGTCTCTGGAGGACCTAGACATAGAGGAAATTATTAATCAAACAGTAAGTGATAATAACATATAGCAGGTCTGTGGTTCGTATACAAAATTTAAATTTTATTGTTTGATCAGAGCACGCACAGCATAGCTATATAACAGTAGAGCACCATATTGTGTTCTAATTAGCAGCCGGTGTCTATGTTTCAGTATAATAATCGTCACATTGTAGTAATTTCCGAGTATCTTCGTGTTTTGACAGGTGGTGAGATAATATAAAGCAGACAAGAATAATAGATGAACGAACGAATGAACTGAGAGAGATTGAACGAAGATCTGAAAAAATGAAGCGGAAGTATATATTAAAACCTATAATTTTTAAGTGTATGCATAAAGTTACAAGTAGGGGCGGATTATTAAAGGACATATGAAGGAACACTGAAGATCGTCAAAGCAATTTTACGGTAATGTAAACGTGAGAAAAAAAGTCAGTCTAAGGAGGATTCGAATTCACGTCTCCTACTTGTTGGGTGGGTGTACTGACTGCTATATTATCAGGCGTCATGATTATATCTCTACATTTTCCACGATATATTGTGCCATCAACGTACACAACTAAATGTATTCGGTTTAATAGTTTCAGAGATTATCTGTCTAATGATTACGCCGTCAGATAGACCGATGGAAACATAAGACTTTGCGTTTTCGTATTTTATGATCGTTACATCACGATTACTCCCCTTAACTAACAAGTGGAAAGCAACACAAGTCACCTTTTGTTTTGTCAACGAAAATTCTGACCTGAAAGAGGTAGGTAAATAGTGTATCCACTTCTAATGCAATTTTCGAAAAATAAAACTACAAAATGTTGTTACAGAAAAAGAGTTAAACAGATGCACGTGGTGTATACGCGTATTGTGTCATATAACATTTAAAAATAAAGAAAAACAATAAATTACATAAAGAAAGTAAATATAGAAAACTATTCATTTTTATAGAGAAAAAGTGTGCACTAAAATCGGAAAAAAATAAAATTAAATAAAACAGTGAAGTAACAAGGCACAGTGAAACTAGTATTGCACTGTGAGCTGATAAGGGGCAAGCAAAATGGGGGCAATGAAATGGAATAAGAAAGAAAAATTGATCTGAGCCAATAAATTTAGAAGGTGAATTCCCATAAGGATTCTTTAAGTCATATTTATAGATACATTTGTTCTTGCAACGAGACAAAAAATGTTAAAAACTCTAAAAGTATCTGTCGTAATAGTAAGTGTAGCCGTTGATTTTAATCGATTTGGGTTCTATCGTTTCTAGTTTTTAGAGTTTTGCCAATGAATCTTAGAAAGTTTAGTATTTAAGTTTTAGTGTTAAGTTCACTTCCTGGTAAATCGTTATTCTCATAAAGAACAAATGAACGATGTTAACAAAAAACGTACTATGCGCCAAATCGCAAAAAATGAGTTAAACATCTTAACAATCAGAATTTAATGTCAAAAACTAATTTGTAAAAATACTGTATTTGTCTTAATTATTTTTATACCAAAATTTGAGGTAGAACTATGCGCCTTTAATAAATCTGGGATTATGTTTTAATCAAAAAGGTACCAAGCCACACAGCACTGTTTTTAATTGGTTGTGCAGTGCTTTGTTTCCTTGTAACTACAAACTTAGTGTTTTATAAGCGTCAATTTTGGCTCTATAACGAGAGTATTTTTACTCCGGTAGAACAAGGAAAGGACACTATTTTATTTGGAAAAAAAGAAAATACGTCATGGCGCACAAAAGGTGGGATCTTGTCTTAGGAGCTTAATACCTACTGAAAATTTTCCAAAAAGGATATAACAGAACTAACTCTGTGGTTTGACTCTTGTGGGCGTCAAAATAGTAATATAAAAACTGTATTCATGCTAAAATCAATTTTATAGCAACATTCTACTTAACAAACGATTTATTTGAAATTTTTTGTTTCGGAACATAGTTTTTTACCAAATGACAAAGATTTTGGAGTCATGAAGTATACATATACGCCACAAGATTACGCCAATATTATGTTAAATTGTAGAAAGAAAAATCTACTTATTGTTTATTTTACGCAGAAAGAATTTTTGTAGCGAAGCCGATTTAGAGTCTAGTGTCACAAATAGAAGGCATACATGAACAAAAAATTAGATGCTTGAAAACAAGAGTGATAAACTTACTAAAGATAAACCGCTTTCTCTTTTTATGAAAAGTAGTCAGGAAATCGAGATCTACAATAAAGGAAAAGACTTCTTAAAATTTTGGAAAATTGTCTACATTATGGCCTAATGGAAAAGCAATATCGCGTAAAAAGTATGCAGATCTAAAAACATTGTCCTTTTATTCCCGAGGATGCAAAAGTCTTTTACAAAAACTTACGAGGCATAAACTGTGAATTTTATGTGGAGGGTTTTTCAGATGATGTCGATTTCGAATTAGGGGAAACAAATTTAACTTAATCATTTTTGTTTTTGTTTCATGGCATATGTTGCTTTTTATAGCAGGTCGTTAAATTAATATAAATATATATAATATTATTCAAAAAATTACTTAGTGCGTTTTTACGAAATAATAAATTTAATTACATGGTTTTCTCAAAAAAGAACCAAGCGCCAAAATAAAATAAAGGACTGGGTGTTTTTGATGCCATTAACAAAATAGACTACATTCATAAAGTCATGTATTCTTAAGGCAAAAATTTTATTCCGACATTAATACAAATTTTTAGTTTTTAATGAAAGTTTACTCTAGTATTACTCAAATTGCAATTTTGTCGCTTAGTACGTTTTTGGTTAACCTGGTCCAAATTTCCGTTTAAATTTTTCAAATATTACTTAAACGACGATCGAACTGCCTCAAAGGCTCAGAGCTGTACGTGATGGAGCTGAATGTGTTCAGACAGTAAGGTGAAGATTGGTAGAAAGGTTGACGGTATGTATGTACCGAGACTCACAAGACAGCACAAATAACAAAGATTGGAATTTGCTTGGATCCATCAAAACTGGGATGATCGTGACTGGAAACGAGTCCTCTACACGGATGAATCACGATTTTTTGGGGTCACCGAATGGAAGCCATAGAGTCTGGAGAAGACAAGAGAGATATATATTCTTCGGCCACCCTTGTCCAACATGAGAATTTTTGGGATCTGTTATGGGTTGGACGGAATTTCTCTAGAGGTAAAAACTGAGATCTTATTCTTCAAGCACGATCTTTAATTGCAAACATTTACATCAGGGACATACTGCTAGATTACGTATTTGTTTCGCATCATTATTATAGAGATTATATCTATATTTAGATTTCTTGTTAATGCAAGATAACGGAAGGCCCTGCGTTTGGAATAGCCTGCAATGTGGTCCGATATGAATCCTATAGAACACGCTTGTTCGGGATGTGTAGGGAAGACGTGTTAAAGCTCGTCCCGTGTGCCTGGAGACGTTACAAGAATTAAAACTAGCACTGGTAGAGGAATGGAATAACACTGAGCAAAATGTAATTAGACACCTTGTTCCAGGTATACCTCGACGAATTCATGCATTGTTGGAAGTTCGAGGCGACAACACTTTGACATTAGTAGATCATTGTTTGTTATGTATTACGTATATTTTTTATTTCTACTTAACTAGTAAAAACCTTTTTCCCCAGGTAATCTATGACTTGTTAGCCAACTGAAGCAACTAAATAGTAAAATATTGGTTCTAAACAGCCGCGACCGACCTTTAGTATGCTATTTGAAAAGTGATATATGCGAGATGAATGTTCGTATGGCTAAAATTTGATGGTTTCTTTGGTATTTTTGAGCCCGTAGGGTGTGTGATAGACTTGAAACACAAGAAAATGCTTCAAACGTAACGTTTTTGAAGTTTTTTAACGAATTTCCTGAATCTATAACCGCCAGAATGTGACACATTAATCCAATCGTCTCCTTTGGGCAAATTAAGTCAATTCTGCATACCGCAAGTACGTCGTGTAGATCAGAATCGCCAAAAACAAGTCGTAATATGTATTTCAGGACTCATAAAATTCTACCAAAATATGGTTTCTAGCTAAAATTTGATGGTTTTCTTGGTATTTTCGGATCGTAGGGTGTCTGATAGGCTTGAAACTACAAGAAAACGCTTGAAAAGTTACGTTTCCGAGGTTTTTTAACGCATTTCTTGAATCTGTAACCCCAAGAATGTCACAAATTAATACAATCGTTTTCTTTGGGCAAGTTCAGTCAATTCTTCATACCGCAAGTACGTCGTGTCGATCGGAATCGTCAAACGCAAGTCGAAATATACTTTAGAATTCATTTCTTGTGGTTTCAAGCCTATCAGACACCCTATGGGCCCGAACATAAGAGGGCAATCATCAAATTTTAGCTAGAAATCATACTTTGGTAGAATTTTATGAGTTGGCACAATAGGTGCCCCCTATGGAGCCCAGAAACGAAAGAACACGTTTACTAAGACCCACCACTGACCCGGAAATGACCGGCATTCAGGCAAGACTTCTATCATTACGGGTAAGACCAAGTAATGATATGCATTAACAAAACAACTTTCGAGATTCTAGAATTACAGCATACAAATTAGTCTGCTATTATTCTCTAATCTCACCCCATCCCCAAAAGTCTAGCGTAACTACCGATCATTTATCCGCGCATCACTTGGAAAGTGACTTACACTACTCTGACCTATTGGTGCTAATCTAATCTGACTGACATGATCAGACTGTTCGAGAAACTTACGAACAATATGACATGTTCCTAACAAAACAGCTTTTTGAATTTTGACAATTATTGAATCATACAAATGCAAAGACTTTAAATTCTCAACTAAGCTATTTGGGACTACACCTATATTAGAGATAACTAAGGATAGAATTGAATTTTTTTTTAGATTCAACATGGATTTCATTTCTATCGATCATTGTAGATATTTTGAAATCTTGGTTTGGTATGTTTGAATAATGTTGTTTGTGTTAGGAATAGCAATGTCAATGAGAATGGCTTCGTTCGTGTGTTTTTTGATAAGTATGATGTCTGGTCTGTTAGCTGTAATGTTTAAGTCTGTAAGTACTTATTGTGCGATCCCAGTATAATTTGTATTTGTTATTTTCAAGGAACGGAGATGGAATGTAAGTGTAATAGGGTGTCGTATCTTCGATTAAGTTTATAAGTGTTGCTAATTCTTTGTGAATGATTTTGGCTGCGTTGTCGTGTATAGCTTTGTAGTCAGTTTGTGCCAGGATGCTGCAGGAGGAGATTATGTGTTGGATCGTTTCAGGTTTTGCTTTGCAGAGGCGTCAGCAGTCGTTTCTTATATTCGGATCTTTGATGATGTATTTTCTGCAATCCTTGGTATTGATTACTTGGTCTTGAATAGCAAACACAAATTCTTCTGTTTCGGTATACAAATTTGATTTTTTTAACCAAATCAATGACATTTTCTTGTTGACACGAGTTTCTTCTAAGTCTTTGTAGAATTTTCCATGTAGTTGTTTTTGTTTTAGCCCACTTATTATTTTGTCTATTGTGTGGGGGGTGTGGATTTCTTCGGTGTTCGACAGATTTAAGGGTGTGTGGTTCAAATCAGCTCTTGTGATGATGCGAAACATTTAATTTCTTTCTGCTCGTTTCAAGAAATACTTCTTCAGATCTGAGATTTGTCTGTGATATAAATTTTCTAGGTTCTGGAAACCCCTTCCTCCATTCTGTCTTGGTAATGAGAATCTTTCAATAGACGATTTTGGATGATGCCTTCTATACTGTGTGAAGATTTTCCTTGTTGCGATGTTTACATTTTCAAGATCAGTTTTGGACCATTTAATGACTCCAAAAGAATATGTTAGCAGTGGAACGCAGAATGTATTTTTATTTACTGCTTTCATTAAATTTTTTTCATTTAACTGTGTCTTCGATATTAATTTTAATCTCGCTAGGTATTGATCTTTCAACTGTGTTTTCGTTTTGGTATGATTGATGTGGGAGGATTGACAGAAACCCAGATATTTGTATGTATCATTTCGTTCTTGGGCTTCGGTTAATTCGTTATTCTGGGTTATATGTGGTACTTGGTGTTGGACGCCTTTTCTGATTGCTTGGGTCTTACATTTCTCAATACCAAAACACATACCAATACCACCGGAAAACTGTTCAGTCAGATTTAATAGGTTTGTAAACTGATTTTGTGTACTTGCATATATTTTTATGTCATTCATATACAGCAAGTGACTTATTCTGTTTTCTGTTTGTTAATTCTTATATTGAACCCATAATTGCAGCTGTTTAGGGTATCGGAGAGGGGATTTATTGCTAAGCAGAACCATAACGGGCTAAGAGAATCGCCTTGAAAAATTCCTCTTCGGATCATTATTGGGTCTGACTGAATTGTTTGTTCATTTAAGGTTATTTGGAGGGTAATCTTCCAAAATTCCATGGAACATTTGAGAAAAGTGCAGATTTTAGTATCAATTATGTATAATTCCAGAATTTTGCATAGCCAGGAATGAGGGACAGAATTGTAAGCTTTCTTATAATCAATAAAATCAGTATATATGTTTCGGTTTTCTTTTCTAGCTTGTTCACAGATGATGGAATCTATGATTAATTGCTCTTTACAACCAAAGGATCCTTTAATACATCCTTTCTGTTCTTCATTAACGATGTCAGAGTTAAAACAGTGTTGATAGATTTTTTATGTAATGCATGAGGTTAATATTTTATAGATTGTCGGTAAACATGTGATAGGTCTGTATTTTGATGGATTTTTTGTGTCGTTATCTTTAGGTTTTAGGTATGTTACACCATGACATAAGAATGTTGGAAAGGAGGATGGGTCAAGAAGGGACTGATTTAAGTGATGCAGTAAATGAATATGTATACAATTTAATTTTTTTATCCAAAAATTATGGATTTTGTCTGATCCAGGTGATTTCCAGTTATGTGTCTTATTGATGGTATTTATTAATTCGGCAACTGTTATCTGATGATCATTCATTGGTGTAACTGTGGATAGTTTATGGGATATACGAGGAATCCATTTGGCAGATTGGTTAAATTCAAATTCTTGAGACCAAAGTTTTGACCAAAATGTTTTTACATCCTGTGAACTTGGAAGTTCACCGGATAATTGAGTTTTGTTTGAATTAGTTAAATGTTGATACAATAGTTTTTCGTTGTTTAAAAACTTAGTGTTATGAATTTTTCTGAGATGTGATTGTTTGTATCTTTTAAGTCTTTTGCTATATAAGGAAAGTTATTGTAATAGGGTATCTTTAATTTGGGATAGTGTTGTGTTGTACTCATCGTAATCAGTTTGATGAAAATTATTGTTGGTCAGTATGGAATGCATGCATGTTTATTTTTATTCTGCCAAACTTTACAAAAATTATTATTGTCAACTTGGTGGGTGGGGGATAGATTCATTATCCCTCCCTTCAGATCGCTCTCGTGGAGCCTCGGATTTCTCCGACTGATAACAGTAGAATGACCAATATAATATAATAACCTTAAAAGAATTTTACAGCAAAAACATGAAAAAGATAGATTAATTGGTGTTGGTTGGTCAAAGTAATAAGGTGAGACAGTTTTAACTTATCCGCAAAGATAATACGACCAAAAAGGGAAAAGAACTACTCAAAAGTATGTGTAGTTGGAAGATATGTTAAAAGATATTCCTGCTAGATGAAAGAAATAAAACTAAATAAGTGGTTAGTAAACGGTATCGTTAGATTTATTCTTACAATACATACAATTATGTCGTAAATTGCATCATAAACTACTTATTATAATTGATGTATGTACTACTTACAATTGTTCTGTGATAAGCAATTAATTCCCAGTTTCCGTTCCAGTAATAAATATTATTTTTATCAGATTGTTTTATTTATACTAATGACCGTTTTATCATACCAATGACAAATAATAATGAATACTCAAGTAATAGGAATATCACGACAAAAGTGAATGACAAAGGAATTAATAGGAGAGAATCTACCAACAAAAAGATCTAAGAATGGTTGGTTGGTGAATAAAAAGGTGTAACGTTCGGAATATTAATCAGCAGTTAAAGTATCTTCTGAAATAGCAACCCTTTAGTCCCTTGAAACATGTTATTTAAATAAAGGGCATCCAGCATCATGAAAGAGATATTTAAAACCGTTCATTTCGAAGCAAAAAATCTCATTAGAGCTGCTTACACATAATTCAATTTCAAGTTTCTCAAGATGAATAATACAAAAGTAAAAGATAGGCAGCTTTTGAAAGTTGGAGGAAAGTAATTATTCACACAAATACCTTGAGTGGTTTAAATAAGTCATTACATTTTAATTCTTTTAAAAATTCCATATAAACTTTTTAATAACTCGTAGCGGCGTCGTCGAGCGCATAAACTTTGTAATTTTCCCCAACAATAAATTTTACCTTAGCGGAATAATAGTTGGCGGGTAACCGGCCTGTGGTAGAATAAGTCCGCGTCTAGGAGTTCCCCTGGGAGTTGTGGCGGTGGGGGTGTCTCTAGGAAGGGAGATATCCCCGGCACTTCTCAGCGAGATTACGCCTTCCCCACGGGACTCCTGCCTCAGGTTTAGAGTGAAGCAAACGCGGCCGTTCTGGATGGTGGCCGTGGGCCCGGGACTGCTGCCCATTAGGAAGTCCTCTGGGTCGCTTTCGTACGGCGGCTCGTCGTACCAGTGGCCTCGGTCGTGGCCGTGGGCGCCGGGGGCCAGCATGCGCGCGTCCTCGTCGTACATATAAGTGTCATCTGGAACATAATTGCGTTTGTGACGCGATTTTTTATCGGGCTTTTGCCACATTACCTCCTGATAAAGGGCCCCGGATCCCTTCCTTGCCCAGCTGCAATAAACCCTGCTTAATGTCTCTCAGGATCTGCAATAAAACAACGTCGGTTTAGAAATCTGCACGGAAAAAACTGTTTCGGAAAATTGCTACTATATTTTGTAGCCGATGCTGGGAGGCTGTTTATGTGCCTTAATGTGCTGCTTCATGGCCGTTAACTAAAATTACGTACCCGTTTCGTGGATTTTATCAATCTGTGCTACATATTAATTAGATAATAAAGGTTTTTTAACATACCATGTACAGTGTGTCCCAAAATCCCTGGATCCATGGCAAAATAACACGAAAAATTATTAGTTGCTGCTGAGTGTCGTCAAAAACAATTTACGTTTGTAAGGATTTTAACTAATTTTTGGACAGCAAGCCTTAGAATAGGGTAAAGATAGAGTAGCAACCTACTTTAACTACGTATTTTTGCAACTGGGACACCTGTTGTTCAACATATTCAATCTAATAAAATGTTTTCAGTACACTGTTAATGACGGAAATTTAATGTTAATATTCTGATGTTTGTTTCAACTGGATGAATTTTCGTTAACGAAAAACGAAAAAAGAATCCTAGAAACTTATAACCAAGGATATCATTCAGATATACTATGAAATTATAAACCAATATCAAAAAGCAACATCTCTTACAGAAAGTTAATATTCTATCCGGGGCACGGGTATAAACATACTGAAGTCTGATTTCGTTTAGCAACCAACAATAAAATATAGGAACAAGGTTTAACACGGAAACTGGAAGAAGCTTAAGTTAAGAAATATTAAACAATCATCTCTGTATTTGAACCAGTTAACAATTTTCTGTCCAATTTTAACATTAAAATTTTGAACACAAATGTGCGATTAAAATTTAACGTAAATTAGAGGACGATCGTCACTAATTGCATGTTATAAACAACAACAATAAAATTTAGACTTGAAAAGAACTATAGCGTCTATAGTGGGTGAATAAAAATGACTTGGTCTGAAATGACTGTTTTAAGATATAATTTAATTTTAGGTTATTTTGCACGAGTAAGGGCACAAATTCCTAGGACGCGCTCAGGGGCGGATCTAGATTCTTAAGGACCTATTAGGTGCCTATTACTTATTTGGGGTCCCTATTTTTCCTACTATGAATAGAAGTTGGTTAGAAAATTTATTTTACATATTTTCAACATTTTAATATCTGTAGAAAAAAAAGGAGAAAATAGAAGGCTGAGGTGTAAAAAAACTTGCGAGTTTTCGACATTTTACTAATTCCTGTTCATGTTGAAATTTAATTTCCCTTTTTAGCTTTCAATTAGATATATTGCTAGCTTTGTATGTTGCACAAATTGTATTTTTGTAATAACAAAATTAAAAACAATTTTATTTTTCTTTACATTTAGGCCAAAAGAGACCCCTTACTTTACGAGTACGGACAATGTAAAATATATTTACAGCAGATAATCAACGGGCAAATTTTCTTCTCAGCAACATGCGTAACTTGAATTGTTTATGTTTATACATCGGAAAAATGTCAGGTTGATTTGAATGAGTTTATCGTCTCAAAACACAGGACTAGAATTATTAATAAGCTTCAATTGAACAAAATGTTTTGAATATTATTATTATTATTCTTATTTAATCATTATTTTATTATTATAAAGACGTGCATATTCTCACATTTTCAGGAAAATGGGGTGACTCATTCTTAATTTGCAGCATCCCCCGAATAATTTAAAAGACCTTCGTATGCGGCTTCAGGAAGCTTGGGACGAGATCCCACAGGACACCATAAACCATCTTCTTTCAAGCATGTCTCGCCGAGTACATGAGTGCATTAGAAATCAAGGTGGACCCACACATTATTGAATAAATTTTTTATTTCACAAGTTTTAGGCCTGTTATTTGAATCATTTATTTGGTTCGATTTAATGCATATTTGGTGAAACTTTCAGGTTTATCAGTCAACTAATTCAAGGTGTTCGGATTTTTATGGAAATCAGTATATGTACATACAAAATTTGACAACCATTGGTCCAGTGGTTTCGTAAATTATTATTTGTTTAATAAAAATTCAGACAGACGGAAACCGGCGACCTATTTCTTCGTACTCTAGGGGTCGTGAAAGGTCGAGAAAACATTAGAGTGGGGAGTCGGCCAATGGATTCGATTACAATACTTCCTTAGCTTACGCTCTGGAAGTAAAAATGAAACTTGCAAGGAAGAAAATTGGTTCTCGAGGCCTGATGATCCATCCACCTTCCTCAACTTTTTAATAAATTGTAAACAATTTTGAGTAAAAATATGAAAAAAATTAAAACCATTACCTTCACACGAAACAAATTTTGACAAAGAGAATTGACAAAATAAAATCGATCTATTGTGGTACAACATTGCAACTATTATGGTTCCGTCGGATGTGAAAAGAGCTTTTAAGGGACAGCACTTCATTTTTTTGCCTTTTGCTTCCCGAGCGCAAGTTAGGGAAGTATTGTAATCGACTCCATTGGGCGATCATCTAAACTACCGGACCGATTGTTGTTACCAAATTTTATATGTGTATTATGAATGTAATGTACATGATAAAACACTAATTAAACTTTGTTTACTCGTCCCCACCAAAAGTGTGATGACGTCATCTCAAAATTATAGTTTATGAATCCGTGTGGAGTTTTTAATTTTGAATCTGCATAACCGAATGCCTTGAAATCTTGCAGATTTCGATACCCTTTAAAATTATCGTGAGCATGGTAAATTTTTAATCGAATTAAATGTGTTTACCCTCTCCAAAAAATTAACGACATCATCAAAAAATTTTGTTGAATAAATGCTATCGAAAATGTGCGAAATATGATGAGTGTCTACTTGTGATTCATCATTGTATTAATATTTTTTAGGAAAAAAATTAAAGAATGAGTCAATTTATTTTAGTGATTAAATCAGAAACGGTTCACTCCATTTTTCCGAAAATTTGGGAATACCATACTGTTATTTTTAGCATTACTTTGCACCTATCCAAACTGTCCTTTCAAAAATGTTGATGACGCCATTACAAAATTTTGTAAGGAAAAACTCATTTGAAACAGCGCATAGCATGCTCCTTCACATTTAGTTTAACACTGCATACATATTTTTATTTTAATTTATAGGAATTCTCATAAAAAACTAAACTTGGCAAAACAAAAATCTTGCAATTTTTCGTAAAAGTTGGATATGATTTATTGTACTTTACAGGCAAGGGAAGTTCTGTCGAAATATCCTTCGACCAATTTTTTTAGTTTATGATAGACATTAATGCGAAATTTATCAATAGCAATAAAAATACGATCAAAGAGAGCCCTTGCTTTTTAAACATTTGTCTTTCGTCATGTCATATTACCGTCAATTTGATTGTTTCAGTGGAAAATGTAACGATCATATGCAACACCGAGGGCTGAAAAGGAATAACATAATAAAACGACTGTTTTTAATACCGTTAACGTTCCAGGAAACTTTTTTCAGAAGCCTGACACATTCTGTAAAAAAATTAAGGCCAATACTTGTGTACAGTGAAATATAAATTCTTTATAAATACTTTATAAACGGATCTGCGATGTTTCAATCCACGATAAATTCTTCCAACTGTGTAGTCATCATTCAAAAGCTCGAATTTGTTATCGATAAAAGCTTTGGTATTACGATATTACGAACAGTTTGAGAATGACAAAACATATACAATATTGTTTTACAATCCATACTACAATAAATAGCCATATTTTGTTGCGATTTTGCAATCAAAACAAAGACTACTAGCAATTTTAGTTATTGTTTTCTTTTTTCCGTTACATTAATGGTTTTAAATTGCTTTTATCTTCTCGACTCAGTTTCGCTAAATAAAAAAGCTATAGCACCTGTAGATACTGTGATTCTTTCTACCTTTAGCAAGTATTTCGTTCACCCACTCACTATACGAAATTATCTCCTTTTTCGTGGAGTGGACTGGAACACAACATTGCTTTTGATCTCTCCCGTGTGTAACGTAGCAGAAAAGGAATCATATAGCAGAGCTGTATTTGCATCCGATACAACTCCGCGTAAAACGTTTATTGTGTGTGCATGTCCGATGCCAAGTCAAAAAAGCTGTATACCCTTTCCGGGCAATAAAACTGAACTGTTTCATGTTTTATCTTAAGTTCCATGCAAGATACTATCGCCTACTATAAAGCAAATTGGTTACATTAAATTTCAATGCTGTAAAGTGTATGTACGTATTTGCAAAGGTTTTGTTTGGCATCAACAAACGAAATTTCGTTCGCTTCCAGCAATTTATGTGAATATGAATCTCTACTTCATGCCGGAACAAGGGGTAAATATTTAAATTGTGTACAATGTGCTTCAAAGCACATGGATGTAATGTCAAAAATGAGGTGCATCCATGTGGATGGAAATGTGGGTAGTTTTTGAGTCATACACAGTACACAGGGGTATAAAGTTGTTTAAAGTTCATGATTTGCAACGAATTTACGGAGGAAAATCTATTTATTTTTTGTCAGAGAAAGTGGATTTGGGAAAACACGAAGTGAAAAAATGTAATACTGCTGGTGTTGACAGCAATGATACAATTTATTTTTTCAGAAAATTATTTAGTTATAAATATACCGGTATACACCGAATGCCTGTTTTTCTTACGTCGGTAGATAACAAAAGGGACGAATGTCTTATTCAAGTTGCCATTTTCAAGTTTTTAACGCTATATGACACTTACATTAAAATTTGTTTATGAAAAAATACGTCACCAGTTTCCGTTTGGCTATCTATCTATGTATCTGTCCTCTGTGGTGATCGTCAGATATATAATTTATCATTTATATGATCAGCTCTGTCAACAATTTGATAACGTCATCTTAAAATTTTGTATAATAAATGCTATTTAAGTTTTATAAAATAACATACTTCTAGTACTTGATTTTTAACCTTAGATATCCAGATTTTTTGAAAAAATTGTAAACAAAATTTTAGCAACTGCAAAAACCGAATGTTTTGAAATCTTGCAAACGTTTTATCGTAGTTATAGTAAATTG